TCTTTGGGGGAAATCCATGAGAGCATGCAGTTGCATCAGCCAAAATATATTCCTTACCCCAACTAATTGGATTAACCAACAGAGCTAATTTTTATGATAATTAGTTAATTACACATCTAGAGCTATCAGTTATAGGCTATAGCGAATCTTTTATCTCCAACCTTAAATATAACTCCCTTAATTAGTGCTTCTTTTCAGACCACAATATTGAATATGATTAATTAGGTGCTACATCGGTGGTGATTTGTGAGGACCACTATACTAATTAAATTGTACAATACAGTTTCAAGATCTAATTGCAACAACTCGAAATCATAGCAAGACGATCAATCGACGCAAGAAATAGACCTTAAGAGCGGGGATCATTTTTCCTTGAATATGAATCCGCATCATGTACCCAACTAAGATATAAATCCCCATAAATCCATTTCTGGAAAGTACTAAAATACCCAAAACAAATATATATTATATATCAATATGAATACAAGGGATTGGATGAGGAAGTCCAAATATACCAGTAATGGCAAGTGGTGAGGATGAGCTTGATACTGACGCCATGTTCTTAGGCTGCTTTCAGAACCTTCTCAGGTTCAACTGGATCCACAACCGCTGCTTTTTTCGTACTCTCGTCAATAATTCTAAACACCAATAACAATTGAATTTAGAACTGATCAATATTTAAGCATAATTAATTAATAAAACCCTAATTAGGATAATCATAAATTGAGATGAAAATGGTGGATACAACCTTTCTGCTTTTAAAAACATGCTATAAATTTGTTCCACACTTAGAAATACAGGAAATTAGAGAATTTTAATCAAGTTTTCGCAAGCGTATGACATTACCCGCATCCCATTCATGAAACCAAGGCTTATACACCCAAACTAAAAGGCAAAGCCCTTGAACGCATCTCCTGGGGCTAAAACCAACAGAAAAAGTTAATACTTGATTATTCGCATTTATTTATATATCATATGCCAGCACGTGAAACTCATTACTAAATTGCCTATTTGGGAGAGAGAATCTAGCATTGACATCATAAGATTGCTATATAACAGTGAAAATATGCCCATATTCCCCACCATTGAGTGCAACAAAATCCATGGTCTTGGGTGTGAACTTACCCTTCGCTAGTGTAGTGGGTGTTCTTGAGAAGTCGGAGCCTTTGGAACAATTCGGGAGCTTCTTTGTGAGGCTGAAGCTTCAGTTGTCCGAGAAGCATGCTTGCAATGGGGGCATCAGAACCTCCTACATTAAATCAGTCGTAGGAAGACATTGCCAAGAAATGAAAATCAAACAAAATGGGCAACTCAGATGTTTAAGGAGAACACAATTATCTAAGATTCCCAAACTCCTTCAAATAGAAATTTTCTAGACTGAAAGAGAAATGATACTTGCAAATTTGTACCATGTAATTGGGGCTGTACACGAGCTCCATTTTGTATGCCGCCATGTTGTGCAGAAGCAATACTGGAATCCTTAGTGTTTATAGTGGCTACACTTGCTCTAGATTGTCCTCCTTGTGCATTGTTATTATGCTATTTAAAACTGAATATTTGAAATAAAAATCATCAACCCTAAAATTGCTAACAATCTCAAAAATTCCAAAACGCATTAAAAACCTAAATTTGAAATAGTAATCCTAAGCAATATAATTGCATAGATTGTTAAAATTGAAGGAAAACTAATCAGGAACAAACCATACACAAAAACTTATATGCAAATAAGTAGACACGACACACACACACACACACACACACACACACACACACACACACATATATATGCACCTGCGGTTGGACGAGATGGAAGGGCCAAGCCCACCGACGCTGGTGCCCATAGGGTAAGCGGTATCCCCTGTGAAAAATATGAAACCTTGTGAAAAGAGCGCATGTGGGAAAGAACGATATCAACATCGAACGCATAGAAACTGCAGCAGTAATAACATTCAAAAAAGTTTTTGTTCGATACCACACGATAAAAGAAATAACAGTGAGCCATAAAAAGTAAAAATAAAAAATTGGGGATTGTAAATTATAATCTAATCACCCAATAAAACATAAATAAATTAAGCACAACAATATCAAAATTAAAAGGGTGGACAACAATATCAAAAAAGAAACAAAAATCAAGCACAACAATATCAAAATCAAAATAAAAAATTGGGAATAATATAAAACTTTGTGCATAGAACGCTCGTGAGAATGAATCACACAACAATCAAGGGTGGACAAATCACAAAAGTGACAAATCTCTTCTAACGGACACCCCCGTCTCTATCTCTCTGCAATGAACATCCCCAATAATTAAGGTAGTTTTTTGTAATTTACCCTTAATTTTTTTTTAAAATTTGGTGTGAAAAGAAATGAATAAAAGGATAAATAGTTGGAAAACGGGAAAATGAATGGTGGGAGTGTTCAGTTTGACATGGCAAACAGACATACCACATACCGGATCCCTTTCCACCTAATACCTCTCCGGATCACATAATATCCACAACACATAATTTGAGGTTTGAAAAGAGAGTGACAGCCATGAGACGAAACGTTCCACGTAGAGGACCATTTTCCCTTTCATTAGTGTAATACTTGTCCCCTAGGTTAGTGAAATCAAATGTGTTTTAACTTTTTCATTCAAAAATGTTCATGTTGTGTTTCACTGTCACACAAATTCATTTTCACATTCAGCAATAAAGATAGTGTGTTTTAACTTTGAAGTGTCCCACACATTAATGTAGACCCTATAGTTTCTGACAAGACACGAAAACAACACGAAAAAAACGGGTTTCGAGTTAACACGATAACTAATCGGATCATTAACGGGTATACACGCGGGTAACACGTGGGTAACCCGTTTCGACCCGTTAAGAAAAAAATTATTTTGATAATTTTAAAGTTTAATTACTAAAAGATTTATTATAAAATACAATAGCTATATTAATATACACAATATATTCTATATTAAATATGTAGTTTTATATTATTGTTCTATATAAGTTAGAAACAAAAGTTTTAGTCATTCTTTATTTTTATTATGAGTGTTCATTATTATCATTACTAGGATAAATTTTACTTAACATGTTGTTGTTCAAAATTAAAATAAACTAGCATAGTATTTATATAAACAAGAACTAAGAAGACATACATACAAGTATGAAAAAAGTGAAAGGATATATAAACACTCCTAATTCATCATTATTCCTCCACGAGTAGATAATGGTTACATTTACATTATCATTTAGATTTTTAAAATCCTTCAAACCCTCATGAATAATGTTTTTTATTTGAGGGAAAAATTAATAATAATTATTGTAGAAGTGTAGAAAATGTAATATATATATACACACACACACACACACAATCACTCATAGTGACAAGCTTTACAACTTTCATGAAGTGGGTCAGCTTCGAAATCCAACACTATAATCCATAAACATTAAATTTATATTTAACCGTCGATTGTCATTTATGCTTTATTCTTCTTACTGAATTTCATTTTGTAAATTTTCTTTTTTTGTAAACATGATCATCTGGCAAATGTAAGAAGATGAACGGTTCAGATCTTTGATATCACGTTTCAATATTTACGGTTAACTGAAATATGAGTTGATGTCATATAGTTTGTAAAAACTTTATAAACATCAAACAATATTTTCACTAACTGTAAAACTCTGAACATAATATCAACAATCCAAACCGTTCATCTTCTTGCATCTTTTAATAGATCATGTTTTCAGAAAAGAAAATCTGAAAAAACAAAATTTGATGAGAAAAAATGAAGCGTAAATATAAATAACAATCAACGGTTAAATTTTGATATATGATTTATATGATTATAGTGGTGAATTTCGAAGTAAAGCTCGTCACAAAAGTTGCAAAGCTTGTCATTACGAGTGTTTATATATTTTTTTCTATATTTTTTACACTTCTACATTAATTAAAAAACTATTAAAGACTTTACTTAAATAACAGTCGTAAGATAAATGAGAGTAAATATGTACCATTGGATTCTATTTCACTTATATTATTAGAACTTTTTTGGACGAAAAAACCCCTTCTCTATTCCAATATTTTCCAATTTTACCATTTGATCAAAACAAAAGCCCTAATCCCTTTCTCTTTCCCCATTCCCGTAACAATGTGGTATGTATATACTTATTTAGTATTATGTTTTTAATTTGATTATTTATTGGTTTAAAATATATTTTCATTAACGGGTCGGGTCATATTACCTGTTAATATTATCGGGTCGATTTTGGGTCAGGTCATTTTACCCGTTTATTTTAACGGGTTTTACACGACACGACCCGTTAAGATATTGGGTATGACACGAAAATGACACGAACACGGAAAACACGACACGAATGTCAGGTCTACATTAATGCATGATTAATTTAAAATACGATTACACATGTAATGCACAAGCCGAATAGGCTTTGAGCAATTTAACTTCCATGTTAAAAAAATTTGTTTGTAAATTTACTCTCCCTAACATGCGACACTGATGTAAGTGAAATAAAGACTATTAAAAAAAGAGATAACTTAAAATCCTTCCATTGATAAGAAAACAAATGTACAAAAGAAAGATCCATATAACAAAAGGGAGGGAAGGGGCAAAAAGCTAGGATCTGAAACTATCTCCCCTTCCATATTCCTTTGTAATAAACCGTTTTAGTTAAGAGTACACTACACTAGCCACTTGACAGTTTACAGGAGGATAAAATCAAAGGAAAACTAATGAAAAGAGCTTGAAAACTTTGAGTTTTAATGATAAAGACAAAATAAAGGGTAAAGTGAATAGTACTGGGATTGACTTTTTAGTGTAAAAATGTGGTTTTGTTGTTAAAGTGAACAGTATCAGGTGCTTTTCGTTAAAGTTCCCTAAAATCAAAGAATCACCAAATCGAGCCGGAATCAGACACGCATCAATATCTACTTCACTCACACGGGGGCACGGTTAGCAGCTGTCGAATAGGTCAGGCAAGCAAGCGCTCGTTGACGAACTTCACCTTTCTTCCTCTTCGGGAGAGTTCAGTTGTGAAGATCAGAGCCAAAAAATTGTTCCCTCAAAAAGTGAACTATAAACCAATATGTTGTACTGTAACATGCAATCCCCTCTTAACCATCTAACGCCGCTTTTGCTGTCGCCGCCTGGTTCCCAGTAGTGTGGTAGCTGAGCAGCAGAAAACTATTGTCCCCTTCGGTATTTTCCCCTCTCCAAAGCAACTGTTTATATATGTACAATTTGGTCACCCAGAACTGTTGTGTAGCTCGGCAGCCCTCTGGCTCATCATCTCCATCACAGCAGCTCTTCTTCTTGAATCAGACTGCTGCTGTAGTCTCCTCAAATGCTCCTTTAAATCTCTGAAAACATACATTTATATTATAGAATCAACGATATTACCCTTAAAAAGAGGGAGTGTGTGTGTGTGGGTGGGGGGGAATTAAGAGAATCGTATCTCATAATACAAGGCAATAACCTACGAACCTGCAACGCGGCACATGGCACTCGGATACTTTGCAAGCTCGAGCATGAAGTTGAAGAAGATACCACATTTTCTTGCAGAGAACACATCCTCCAGATGCACGGACTTTGCAATGAATTCCATGGCGGAAAAGCCCCTTCACCTTACGGCAATTGGGGTATTGACATTGTGCAGAACGACATTGTGATGCATGCACCAGAAGGTCAAGCATTTTCCGAAGCTGCAAAATTGAAAACAGTGTTATAAAAATTTGACTCTCCATATACATTGAAATCCAAGCCTTTCCTCCACTAATACATCGACGTTAACATCAATCTTCAAGTATGTAAACACAAATATAAAGCACCTGTACAACTCGGATTTGTCTAGCTTCTTTGTTTTGTGCATCGCGATCAGTGATGGATGGATGATTTGTCAACTTATGATGATGATCTACACCGCCTTCCTTCTGATAACAGTTATTGCATACATCGTATTCAGGGCAAACTTCACAACGCCAACCTTGCCCTGTTTCAATGTTGAGATGACATATATTGCATGTTGTCACAAACGCAGGAGCAGGTGGGTTATGAAGATGGTAAAGGACCATGATAGAGGAGTGTTTAGCCCGCCGTAAAGTATCATACTGATAATGATTCCCTTGACAAAGACTGAGAAATGCCTGTCTAGTGTCAAAGAATTCACTCTCAAGGATTTCATCTCTGTCCTTTGTCTCCATAGGTACATCAGCAATTTGAAACTGCAACATATAATGATGTCAGTACTAAGCAGAAATTTTAAGAAAAAAGAACGAAGAGATTGCAGAGCCATGAGAATTGAAGCTAGAACTAAGGACAAATTCACATACAGGACGCAATTCATGCTTTTCCCTCTGATTGATAGGGTGCCTGTCTCTTTCTTCCCGTTTTTGCTCTGCTTCATAACACCTGTCGTCCCATGTAAAGTAATTACAACAAATCAAATTGGCAAACCTTATTCCAACTGCAATTTAAAAACAGCTCAAAAAAAAAAAAAAAAAGCAAAAAATTGATTATTCAACATTCAGTAAGAAACTTCAAGTGTATAAAAATGCAAGAAAATTTCAGCCTTTCAAAAGAATCAGAACTGAGGATATTTAACTGATCAAACTGTCCGCAAATTCTAACAGAACCTTGAACTCAATTAGCAACAATACCAGAACCTTCGTCCCTTCTTCTCCAAACAAACTATAAGCACAATCTAGTGATATATGAACAAGCAATAAAGCACTATACGCGGTAAAATAGGTAATACAAACCAAAATTAATATAGTATTAGGAAGCTGTGCGGGGGAGGGAGGTAACAGATAAATGCAGGAGTTCAGAATCTTACTTATTACAAAGCTGAAAATTTCTGCATTGAGTGCAGGACCAACGGTTTCCTGATACCATTAGTATACAACAGTGGGAGCATGCGTACTGCAAATGAACCATGATGAAATCCTCCTTCATTGGCGAAATGGTTTCTCCAAGATGGGTGAACATAAATACAAAAGTCAGCAAAAAGAAGAAAAAGATTATCTCAAATTTTTGTGCGAATAATTCGTAAAATGATGCACAAACCCTCCATGCATGCAGTTGCTAAAAACTAGTAATACGTACGAAAGTGGCTCACCCGATCCCTCCCAACAGATATACTGACTAGCTAATTTTTGTGTGGAAGCTTGTTTTCTTTAGATTTTCTTAGTAGTTACCCCTCTATATTGTTTTTCCAAAGCAATCTGGTTGCGCTTCTAGTTAAAAAGCAAAAGACCTTTGCATGAAAGAGTGTGGTAAAAATTATAATATTATTACAAGTCACTACATAAAAACTTGACATATTAATTGACATTAGTCGTACAAAATGGAGTGGGTAAACTCTTATCAGTGGCTAATGATAGGTTTGCGGACTTTACCCAACTCATTAGCCACTTATGAGTCTTTACTCTTTACCCACCTTATTCTGCATAACTACTGTTAGCGGCTTTATATTGTCAATCTTTTATGTAGTCAATCTAAGTTTATGCTATCAATGGCTAAGGGTAGGTTTGCGGCCTTTACCCACCTCATTAGCCACTTATGAGTCTTTACTCTTTACCCACCTTATTTTGCATAACTACCGTTAGCGGCTTTATATTATCAATCTTTTATGTAGTCAGTCTAAGTTCATGCTATTTTTTATAGACGATAATATATTTATACTAATAGGTAGGGAAAGAAATTAGTATTAAACTCGTTATCTAAGATAATCAAATCTTAGATGCGACATTTGCAAATAAAAAAATAACACTAAACCGTAATACTAGGTGACAAGTTAGAGCTAAAATCAATAGAACATTACTCGGCAATTATTGCCGCAGTGCATCATATATCTAAGTAAAGCTAGAGAGCTAACTGCAGTTTTAAAATATAAAATAAGATTAAATTCTTCGAAATCTTGCAATGTCATTCAGATATTGTTAACGTTTCAGAAGTCATTGTAACTTTGAAATGGAGTTGACTTAAAAGAACACATAATCCTAATTAAAACACTACATATAGTAATAAAAAAAAGGTATTAGATAAGAAGCATTAGCATTGGCAAGTTTCCTACAACCATCGTGCAGAGCCAATAGACAAAGGAGATACACACACATTGGCAAGTTTCCTACAACTATCGTGCAGAGCCAATAGACAAAGGAGACACACACACTCACACACACACACACACACACATATATATATATGCCTTTACGAAAGTGCAAAACACACACACACATACATATATATATATATATATATATATATATATGTATATATGCCTTTACGAAAGTGCAAAAGTCGAAAGACATGCAATAACGAATTCAAATTCAACACCAAATCGACTTGACTCATATAATCCCTAATCCCCATCACAACCGTGTGGAGAATATATAACTTCATAAAAAGAGACAAGGAAATTGACTAAGAAATATTAATATATATGGCTCTATTCGTATTTTCAAAAATTGTACTAGAAATTAAAATCGAATCATTTGATAAAGAAAATAAACTATTTGTGAATTTTTTTTAAATTTTATTAGAGAATATTATACTAAATTTGTTATTTAAGAGATCCAAATATAAAACTTCTCACTTTGAAGAAAAATTCTACGACGTTCTACTAAGTAATGAAAAATATTAATATCTTTGCAACATTGACAGAAAAAATCCTTGCAATAAAGTGGCTTCGTAATCCCCTGTCCATAAAGTGGCTTTGTAGTAAATATCCAAAGAAATATAATATGGACAATAACACTACATAGTAGGCCTGACAATTCCTGACACGACCCGATAACCCGACACGACACGACACGAAATTAACAGGTGTTCGGGTCGACACGATAACGAAACGGGTCGTTATCGGGTAACCCGATAAGCACCTGTTAAGATAACGGGTTTGTTCGGGTATACACGTGGGTAACACGATACACAATAAGCAGAATATTAATTTAATAATTTATAACCCTAAAAAAATACTATAATAATTATATATATATTAATTTAACAATTTTATACCCCTAAGACCATCTCCAACCCTTGGGCTAAAAGCCAAATTTTTTAGCCCGGAAAATTTAGCTTTTAGCCCAGAAACATATTTTCTGCTCCAACCCTTCTACCCTAAAATTTTAGCCCAGAATTATTAAAGAATGAAATTAGCCTAAATTTTTTTCTTAAATCAATTTTTTTTAAAAAAAATAAATATGTAGATTATTGTAAATTAATTTTATGAACATTTTAATCTAAAAAAATTTAAATTCCGATAAACATTTCGCATTTAGCCCGGGGGGAAAGTTGGGGGGTATTTGGCCCAGAAATAGCATTTGGCATTTAGCCTAAAATTTTAGCATGGGTTGGAGAGTGTTTGGGGGGGGGTAATTTGGGAGGTAATTTGGCTTTTAGCCCAGGGTTGGAGATGGTCTTAATAAATAAATATATATATACACACACACACCATTGAACTTCATGGGATACGAATTATACGAAACTAATTTCAACGATCCAACCGTCAAACATGTTTGTATATACTTCGAGATCGCATACGCCAAAAATTGAAAAAAACAAACATTCAGAGAGCAAGTAACGGGACAAAACTTTTCGACGGTTATAAACGAAAAATCATGATTTAACGGTCATTTCAACTCCGATTTTGATGATTTTTTACAACCACACTCCTTGACCCTATATGAATACAATGATTGAATTCGATCTTCAATTTAAAATATTTACACTAGTGGATACCACAAAATCTTATGTTATACTTAATAAAAGTATGAATAAACTCTTAAGTATTAGTGAATCTATTGTTTTGATGGGATACTCATTCTACAAAACTAGTTTCAATGATCCAACCTTCAAACATGTTTGTATATACTTCGAGATCGTATATGCCAAAAATTGCAAAAAACAAACATTCAGAGATCAAGTAATGGGACAAAAGTTTTCGACGGTTAAAAACGAAAAATCACGATTTAACGGTTATTTTAACTCCGATTTTGATGATTTTTTACAACTACACTCCTTGACCCTATATGAATACAAGTAATGAATTCGATCTTCAATTTAAAATATTTACACTAGTGGATACCACAAAATCTTATGTTATACTTAATAAAAGTATGAATAAACTATTAAGTATTAGTGAATCTATTGTTTTGATGGGATACTCATTCTACGAAACTAGTTTCAAAGATCCAACCGTCAAACATGTTTCTATATACTTCGAGATCGTATACGTCAAAAATTACAAAAAACAAACATTCAAAGATCAATTAACGGGACAAAACTTTTCGACGGTTATAAAAAGAAAAATCACGATTTAACGGTCATTTTAACTCTGATTTTGATGATTTTTTGCAGCTACACTCCTTGACCTTATATGAATACAATGATTGAATTCGATCTTCAATTTAAAATATTTACACTAGTGGATACCACAAAATCTTATATTATACTTAATAAAAGTATGAATAAACTATTAAGTATTAGTGAATCTATTGTTTTGATGGGATACTCATTCTACGAAACTAGTTTCAATGATCCAACCGTCAAACATGTTTATATATACTTCAAGATCGCATACGCCAAAAATTGAAAAAAACAAACATTCAAAGATCAAGTAACGGGACAAAACATTTCGACGGTTATAAACGAAAAAGCACGATTTAACGGTAATTTTAACTCCGATTTTGATGATTTTTTACAAATACACTCCTTGACCCTATATGAATACAATGATTGAATTCGATCTTCAATTTAAAATATTTACACTAGTGGATACCACAAAATCTTATGTTATACTTAATAAAAGTATGAATCAACTCTTAAGTATTAGTGAATCTATTGTTTTGATGGGATACTCATTCTACGAAACTAGTTTCAATGATCCAACCGTCAAACATATTTTTTATATATTTCGAGATCGAATACGCCAAAAATTGCAAAAAACAAACATTCAGAGAGCAAGTAACGGGACAAAACTTTTCGACGGTTATAAACGAAAATTCACGATTTAACGGTTAATTTAACTCCGATTTTGATGATTTTTTACAACTACACTCCTTGACCTTATATGAATACAATGATTGAATTCGATCTTCAATTTAAAATATTTACACTAGTGGATACCACAAAATCTTATATTATACTTAATAAAAGTATGAATAAACTATTAAGTATTAGTGAATCTATTGTTTTGATGGGATACTCATTCTACGAAACTAGTTTCAAAGATCCAACCGTCAAACATGTTTGTATATACTTCGAGATCGCATACGTCAAAAATTACAAAAAACAAACATTCAGAGATCAATTAACAGGACAAAACTTTTCGACGGTTATAAACGAAAAATCACGATTTAACGGTTAATTTAACTCCGATTTTGATGATTTTTTACAACTACACTCCTTGA